CCTATCCCCAGAGTCATTATAGCAACTCTCCTGAATCCTTTTCTAGTTATTCTCTTATCCTTTTTTGGAGAAGGAGATGAAAACTGCACACAATATTCCAAGTGAAGATTAATTAGTGGTTTGTATAAAGAGATAATTTCCTCTTTTGACTTGTAATCAGTATGTGTAATTAAATCCTAAAATTCTCTTATATTTACTAATAGTAACATAGTATTGTCTTGTTAACTTGAATGGCTTATCTATCACTATGACAAAATCATTTTCTTCAATTTCACTATTCAGTGGCTCCCAACTATATTATATCTGACTCAAATTTTGAGAACCCTTGCATTACTGATAATTAAAGGCCATTTACCAACAATTTGTCCAATTTACCAATTGATCCTTGTAATTCTGTAGCATCTCAACATTTGATCTAAATGCAGTTTGAAATACTGAATATAATGTTATAAGCAGACTTTGCTAAACTACTAATTATTACTATATTGATATTGTTACTATAATAATAAACAACAAAAGCCCAAGCACTGACCCCTGAGGCACACTCCACACAACAAAAGTCCAATTTTACTGGATTCTATTAGTAACAACTCTTTGCTTGCTCTCGCTCAGTTAGCACTGATATGATTTTTGTAGCTATCTTCTGTACAGCACTTTTTCAAAAGCTTTTTGACAATCTAAGTACACCAAATATAAACCCATTCCATCATGCAGCTAACAAGTAACATACTCAAAGTCAACAGACTAGTAAAACAAATTTTTCTTTGGTGAGCGTATGTTGATTTTCTTTTATTGTGTAAATGATTTTGTAAAGTTTCCTTAATCAGACTAGAATTTTTTTCCCACTTCAGAAGTAGGTTGTTTGTGCTGTAATTTACAGGAAAACACTTATCAACTCTCTTAAAAATAGGAGTAACATTAGCAATTTTCCAATCATCAGGCATCTGCCCACTGTTTATTGGCCTAACAAAAAATTAAAAGAGAGGCTTATGTATCTCATCTTTAACTTCCTTTTAAACTATTAGAAATACATATTCTTGGTTCTTTATCTGTTTTTAATTTCTCAATCTTTTTAATTATCACCAAGGGATTAATATCTTCCTCATGATTCAAGTTAATTCTAACATTTCCCAAAGAATGCTCAGGACCTGGAATATTTCTAACATATTTTTGTGTATGTGTGTCTATATATATAAGATGTGAAAAAAATGTAAATGCTCTGCTTAAGCCACATTTGGAGTATTTTCAAATGAGTGGCCTTCCAATGTTGTGAATGCAGTAAACTTAAGGGAAGGCTTGGTAAATATTTGAATGTTAAAGGCTGACTTTGTGTGTTTTATTTTTATTTGAAAGTTTAGTTTCAATATGATATCTTACCTTCTCTCATATAACAGCTTTCCTCGATTTGTCCTGCCCACTATATGTGGAGATTTTTCTCAAACTTAGATGGTCTTTTACTTCAGTCTTTCTGAACAAATTAGGTGTCTCAGATGCTTATCTTCATATTACTGTTTCCCTTGCATTCAGATGTTACCTTCAGTTTGTTCATGAGGTCAGGTGTTTCAATTCTGTGCTCTCCCATTTGGTCTTTGTTGGCTCTGTACATCTTCTGTTGGTTGGTCAGAGTCTTTGGTTGTCATATTCCTGACCTGGGACCATAGTTTTGCTATTACATGGATGACTGACTTCTTTTGCCTCATTCCCAAGAAGTTTCTCAAGACCATACCTATCTCATTTTCTGGGATTTAGCATGTTTAGGTAGCTGGTCAAGCTGAAGTCACATCTAACCTCGATTCCGTACTTTGTTAATTTGGGGGGTGTTTTTCAACTCCTACTTGAGCAGGACACAGTTTCTTCCTTTTCACTTGGTATACAAAGCCATGACTTTTCCTTCTCTCACTGCATGTGAGGTTCTCACTCTTTTCAGGACTTGGGCTTCCATGGAATCCCTCATCC